AAAATTGCTTTTTGGAGCTAAATGATATGATTTATCCTAACCTTATTAAGGTGTTTTGTACTAATTTGTCATTTGAAAGATCAACCTTTAGGTCACACGTGAAAGGTGTGAACATTGAGATCACTCCAATAATATGGAAGCAAGTTGTTGGACTAAAGAATGAAGATATAAAAGTGACAAAAGGATACACCTCAAATATTGAAGATTTCAAAAAGGTACAATACTTTAAGTCCTATATGAAGAACAATGAAGACTCCATGTGTATTTTTAATGCTAGTAAGTATTAAGTGGTAAAAAGTTGATATAATTATGCTTTGAATTGTTATGAAACCACTTAACTTATGTTAATTCTAATATATTTTTCTCCTAATATAGGATGAATTCAAGAATACCTTGATACAAGAGTAAGGAGCATAATTATCAGCATAATTGGAGTTAAAACTGGAAGAAGGAAGAAAATTTTCAGCATGGAAGTCGCTTGAGCGAGATGGACTCTCGCTTGAGCGAATGTCAGTTATTTTTCTTTGGAAGTTAGTCGCTCAAGCGCTAGTAAATTCGCTGGAGCGAATGTTAGCGAGTGATTTGTCGCTTGAGCGAAAATAGGAAACTTTCTCTTGAACGAAATATGCGAGACCCAATTATTCCTATAAAAAAATAAGATGTGTTTTGAGAAAAAACAAGCGGTTTTGGGGAAAAGAGACGCGACTACTGCTAGGGTTTCGTCCAATCTTCATCAATTCTTCACTTTTTCCACATTTGGAGCATTGTAATGGCCAACATGAGTGACTAACTTCATTCTCTTGGGATTTGGTGCACTTTCTTTGAACTCTTTTGTATCATGGTGATGTTTTGAGATATTAATCTATGTGTTGATGTTGTTATTCTTATCCTTTGTACTTTGGAATGATTTATTCTTGATGTTTGGGATATGATTGGAAAATATATCTTGAACCCTAGATTACGGTAAGAATATTTGTTATGTTAATTGTCAAGAATGGAATGAATATATCAATTGCTTAACACCCTAAACCTAATGCTGGAAAATATCTTAATTGTGTGAGGAATCAACATTTATTAGGTTTTCTTATGAATTTCATGTGTGAGGAATCAACATAAATTATTTGAGTAGGTGACATCAACATTGTTAGGTTAATTGATGTTCTTAATTGACATAGTCATTACAAAAGAGGGAAAAGGAAGGAAATCAATCCTAAGTACCTTTAATTGATTTTTTCTCAACAGTTTATAGTTCTTTGTCATTTAATTTCAATTCAACTCTTTATGCAAAACCCAATTTGTTTTAATCCACTTAGTAATCATATAATTGAGAATTTCCATTGAAACCATTCCTCGTGGGATCGACTTTTATTTAATCAAAATACTATACTGCGATTGATAATTTTGGTACGCTTGCCAATAATTCAACAGTAAGCTACGATTGGAACATAGGCTATTAATGTTCATTGTAGCTTCGTAGCTCACATCTAGGGGAGCAATCATGCTCTGTTAAATGAAGGAGATCTAGTCTTGATGTTTTGTATCCAATACAAAATAAAAGTAAATTGGATATTTGTCATCAAATACCACATGAAGGCCAAGAGACCGTAGATTTTTGTTACCCTTATATCTTACTAGGGATGACAAAACGGGTCAGCCCGCCCCGTTTTGGCCCGCCCCGCCTTTAGCCCGCCAAAAACGGGACGGGCTGACCCGATATAGTCATGACGGGTTGTAGACCTTGGCTTGCCCCGCTAACCCGCCATAATTTAGAAAAAAATATTATTTTTTAAATAATTTTTTTAATAAATTTAATAATAAAATTATTATTTGTTTGTCAATAATTCAATATATATATATATATATATATATATTATTTAAATTTAATGATATAAATCAATACATTATTTTAAGAAATTATAATTTAGAACAATAATGAAATTTACATAATAATAAATAATAACAAAAAAAAAAATATATATATATATATATATAACGTTAAACTTATAAAATTTATATTTTTTATATTGAAAAATTTAAATACCTATATCTTTTTTATTTGATAAAACTTCATATTATTCTTGGTTGAGTAATTCTTACACCTTTAATTCAAATAATAAGAATAAAAATAATCGAGTGCTTAGGATAAATAATGAGAACAGGAGAGAAGGTTATGTTTCAGGGAGGAGAATATTTTATGTGAGAATGAAACTTTTTTAATTCTCTTTTTAAAATTTTCAACTTTATATATTATGTTTATAATTAATTTTATTACAATAAAAAATTATTTTTTATTAATTAGGCGAGTCACGGTCGGCCCGCCCCATCCCGCAAGTTGGCCCGACGGATTGGCGGGTTTGGCAGGACGGACCAAAGTGGGCTAGTGGGCTGAAAACACCAACCTGTCCCAGCCCGCCGGACCTAGCCTGTTTTGTCATCCCTATGTCTTACTTATTTCAAAATTTATGTTGTATTTTGGTGTCGACAATGATGATGAGATAGCTAAAACACCAAGATTAACAAAAGAAATTGACAATTCAACTTTGCACAATATGAAGTTTGTTAAGATTGAAAATAGTTAGGTTTCTAAGGAGGACACCGGGTCGTAAAGAAGAAGAAAAGAAGATCAAGGATAAGGTGTTGTACATCTAATGTTAAAGAAGAGGGAGATGAAGAACTACACCCCATAGAGATGATCCCTTACATAACACAACTAGACTGCAACACTTTGCTGTCTCAATTTGAGAGAACCGTACTCTCCCAAATGAATGCACTATGTGAGGGACAACTTAAGCACACGAAAAGGATTTATGTAGTTCAAGCAAAATAATACAAATTATATAAAGACTCTATTGCAAGGTTCCAACCCATTAACAATCAATTAGATGACATTTACAATCAAATTAGAGACCTTCAGTTCCATCAAAGACCTTACATAGATGATTTCTTATATTTATTATGCTTGTATCATTTTTTTATTGTTATGTTGTTCTCACAAGTATTTATTAGATTGTATTAAATAGTATTTTTTATAACTAGACATTACTGTTGCATTGTTAATTACATGAATGTTTTAGACTTTTTACAATTTTCATGAAGTAAAAAGGGAGAAGAAAGTGAATTTAACTGTAATTGTACTAAAATAAAAATAATAACATAAAAACTTATAACTAAAATAAAATATAAGAAAAACTAAAAAGAATAATAATATAATAACTTATAACTAAAATAAAATATTAGAAAAAATAAAAAAATCAGATATTAATAAAATTTTATTATCGAAAATAATTATAATATTTCTCTTAAAAAAACAATAATATCATTTATAAAAAATAAAAAAACATAGCTATCATATAATACACTCAAAAAATAATAATTTAAAATTATTCACAAAATAAACATTACGCTCATCTTATAAAAAATATTAATATATAATTTCTCCTGTATACAACTTCATTTTTCACGTTCTCATATAATTTTTTATTATTTTCTTATATTACGTTTTCTTATTTCACGTTCTCACGTATTTATTATTATTTTCTTATATTATTTTTTCTTGTTACTTATTCTGTTATAGTTATTTTTAATTAATCAAATCATAAATGATTAGGTTTTTATGTATATTTGATTGTGTTATTTATCAAATATAATCTATTATACATTAAATAAAATTGTTTTAAATTTTTTGCATAAAAATAATTTTTCATATTAAAAAAAATAATACAGATAAAATATTTGTCGCATCATTCAATTTAAAAGTCTATGCAGAAAGTTATTAATTTATATATAGGTACTATTATAAATAATTCTTAAAATATATATATATATATATATATATATATATATATATTATCACTAGTTAAACTTTATTGTTTTTTTTTGTTTAATTTTATGCTCGATTTGAAATATGAGAAATGTATCTGAACACAAACCAGAAATGATAAAAATTACTACAAAAATTTATGAGAGCTTAGTTGGAATAGCAATGAAACAGAAATAACGTAATATTTTTAATGATAAAAATGATTGAAATTTGTTGTGACAGCTTATTTAGAAGAAAATTGAAACTGAAATAACGTATTTTTCTTATTAAAAAAGAGTCTAACTTTAAAAAAATGGGTAAAAGTAGAGAAAGGTTACTTTAATCATTATGATTTTTCTTTTCTTGTTACTTGTTCTCTCTAGTATTATTTATACTCTTAACAAATTAAACTATAGTTATAATTATATATAAGATAATTATAATTATATTTAAGATAATTGATAATGTTTGATTTATATTGTCACGTAATAAAGGTAATCGATTATATTTTAACCATTTTTTTTTATAATTATGGTCATATTGAAAAAAAAGTAATAGTAAGATATAAATAAAATACGATAATATAAATTACTTTCAAGGTGATTCAATTAAAAATGACAACGTATATATCTATTCATTTATATAACAAATACTTTAGAACAAAGCATAAATAATAATTTATAATTACTTAGTATATAAATATTTTTGTTTCTAAATTTTGGATTATGCTTTAGTTTTGTCCCTAAATATGTTTAGATTTTTGTCTTTATAAAATAAATTTATTTTTAGGTTTAGACTATTTAATTTTTAAAGCTATCATGCATCATGGTTAGAGACAACAAACTATATGTCAGTAGTTAAAAAAACCCACTAAAGGTTAATGTTTTGAAGTTACCCTGATGAAATTCTATAGTCTGCAATTATTTATGTTGGACATTAACTCTTGAAAGAAATGTTTTTCTTATTTGTTTTGATTATTTGATAGGCACTAGAAACAAACAATAGAGTATGATGCATAAGACGTTGCAAGGGGTGCATTGCCACAGACAATGTATCTTCTTTTAATGTTCCCTTCTCTCTCACCCTAAGAACCTAGACAATGCATCTAACAATAATAATAATCCTTAGTGCAAGACCCATATGGCTTGTTTTTGGTTTAGCGCAGGGTTTTTTATATTGCAGGCAAAAAAGAAATGAGTAGATGACCCCAGCTAGATTTGGAGGCCTTGACCAAAACCAAAGGAAAACGCTTATTAAAGATCTCCATGCACTTCTTTCAAGGCGTAATAAAGGACAATTCAATAAGATAAGAGAAAAACACCCCAGGTAAGAGTTGGCAATGTCAGTTGCTAGCTCAAACTGATATGATTATCACATAGAAGTTCACCCAAAATATGAAAAAGTGGGATAAAACAATCATTATTAATTTCTCAAAGTTGAGGAAGAGGAGCTTAAGGGGCAGGTCTTTTTATTAGTGTTATTTATTATTTTACAGTACCTGTGGCGGTGGTTAATCATCAAAAGCTCTCTTTTTGATGCGAGCGTGAGGTATATAAATGGAGCTTCTTTGCCATAACCCTTTTCTTTCCACACCCTCCTTCATATACACATTGGTTTGTTAGCTGTATTTTCCCCTCTGTCTACCACCTTTATTGTATATTTTCTCCTCTTCTCTCTCTAAAAATCAAAAGCTTTTAGATTTTGATGTGTTTTTCTCTCTCTTTGTGGCACAGTGAAAGGCAGGTTTGTTATGAAGGAGGGAGTTTGAAGAAAACCCAAATTGAATAAAGTGGTTTTTGATTCGAGGGAAAAGCTTGAATGGAAGGCAGGGTTCCAAAAGTAGGAGGATCAGAAATGGGTATCTTTCTCTTCCCACTTTTAAAGTTGGGTCCTTTTTTAATTTTTTAATTTTCTTTTCTCTCTCTGTCTTGCAGGTTTGGGTTCTGTAACACTGACTAGGGCTTGAACGGGGGTATTTATTACGCTGAAATCAATGTTGTTTGCATAATTGACTGCTTCCATGGACTTCTTTTCAGCTCTTTCTTTGAACAGTCTTTTTTAGCCTCTCTCTCTCTCTCTCCCCCTCCTGGGGGGCCTTCTTTATGAATTTTGGTACTTCAAGTTCAGTGTTGGCTTTGGAAATGGTAGCTGCCAAACTCGTGTGAGCTTTGGTACATCTTTTGGGTACTTGGATTTTGTTTTAGCCCTTGAGCAATTTTTCACCATCATTTACTGAGGCTGCTTTATCTGTTCCTGCTTTTAGCCTTCTTCTCTTTTTTGCTTCACACACTTGGACAAGTTTGAAGTTCCTTCAGTTCTCAAGAGTGTTCTGGATTCTGGTTGATGCTTGTCATGAAATCGTGTTTGTGGAATTTGTGTTGGGGCTTTTCCACCTGTTAGTCTGTTAATATGAAATTTGACCACTTTTGATAATTTTTTCATGCTGTACTGGTTACCATTTGGCCACTGTTGAAGGTACTTCTGTTTAATTTTTTCTGATTATCTGTTAGTTTGGTAAAGAGCATAGGAAAGTCTGCTGGTGCGGTGGTTTGGTATCGCTTGTCAAGGAGGGGTGGATATGAGTGACAAAGAAAAGTTTGAGGTGGATAGAAACGAGGATCCTATGGGATATTCTAGTGGTATGCACTCTGATTGGAGATTTGGGGGTGGAAATCTTGCAAATTCTTCTGCAGGTTTGGTTGCAGTGGGAAATTCTATGAATGTCAGCAGAGGGGATTTGATTGGTTCTTCTTCATGTTCCTCTGCTTCAATGGTGGACTCATTTGGTCCAAGCTACTGGGATAACAGCACCGGCTCCCAAAACCTGGGATTTTGTGACATTAATGGGGGTTCTTCAAATACTGCTGGAATAAGAAAAGATGGGTTTGGCTTTGGAAGAGCTGGCCAGGATCATCATGGAACACTTGAAATGGGTTGGAACCCTGCTAATTCTATGTTACCAAACGGCCCAGGGATGTTTCCCCACAGTTTATCTCAGTTTCCAACTGATTCTGGATTCATTGAAAGAGCTGCAAGATTCTCATGCTTCAGTGGAGGGAATTTTACGGATATGGTGAACTCATATGGGATTGCTCAATCAATGGGGCTTTATGGGGCTAGAGATGCTATTGCAGGCCATGGGTTGAAATCAGTAACCGGAGGGCAATCTCAAGGAGGTGATATAAATGTAGTTGAAGCAGCAAAAGATTTGTCTCCATCTGTTGAGCATCTGGCTGCTAAAGGAAGCCCTCTCAAGAGTGATAAGAGAAGTGAAGGTCATGTTATGTCTCAAGACGATGGGAAGCAATCTCTTGTTAGGCCTGCTAATGAGTCTGATAGAGCTGAATCTAGTGATGATGGTGGTGGCCAGGATGATTCTCCAATGTTGGAAGGTACTAGTGGAGAACCTTCTATCAAAGTACTAAACTCAAAGAAAAGGAAAAGAAGAGGGCAGGTATGGTTGTGACATGTGATTCAGCTGTATCTACTGTATGTGTGACACTATGATGCTATTTCCTCTTATCCCTTTGGTTGTTTTCCTTGTGGTAGGATGCTGATAATGATAAAGCCAATGGGGCTCCTGAAATTCCTAATGAAGCTGCAAAGGACAACTCTGAGAATCAACAGAAGATAGACCATCAACCAACTTCAGCAACCAAGGCTTCTGGGAAGAATGCCAAACTGGGGTCTCAAGCTTCTGATCCACCTAAGGAGGAATACATACATGTTAGGGCTCGCCGTGGTCAGGCAACAAATAGCCATAGCCTTGCAGAGAGAGTAAGATTTTGTGAGAACTTTATGTCATGAAAATAAAGTTTTTGGATGAATAATTTTAATTAGATTTTCACTACAGGTTAGGAGGGAAAAGATAAGTGAAAGGATGAAGTTTCTTCAAGACCTTGTACCGGGATGCAGCAAGGTAGCTTCTAAGTTTGAAATTAGAAGGATTCGCCATGTCATATAGTTATGTGTTTAGGTATCACATCCTTTTAACACTGTTCTTATTACTTTCTATGCTTTTAGGTCACCGGCAAGGCAGTAATGCTAGATGAAATCATCAACTATGTACAGTCACTTCAAAGGCAGGTTGAGGTATGGATGAAAAGCTTCTCTCTTTTTTCCACTTGTGACTCTCAAGTTATGTAACTGGCTCTCACTTGAGGTTCTGGTTCTGCTTAAGCTTAGTGTAAAAGTATTTATTTGCATTGATCTTCTCATTATTTAGCATGCTTTACTACCATTACATCTTCTATGTATGTGAAATGACCTCATTTTAAATCATTACTATTGATTCTTCTGTGATCATTGTCATCTTTGTTGGATCTTGAATGAAGATGCTAGATAAATTGTTTTACTAATTACTATATATATAAACGTTGATACTTTGATTGTTACTGGCTAGAGTGTCAACCTAGTCGGGATTGTAGCCAGTGTACTGATGCTTTTGCAGACATGTTTCATTAAAAAAAACTATTGATGTTTAGAATATTTTTAAAATGCTTCGCATTTTTTTTCTCAAGTTAAATTGACACCCACCTTTTTCATTTGGCAGTTTTTGTCTATGAAACTTGCAACAGTAAATCCTCGGCTGGATTTTAATATTGAAGGACTTCTTGCTAAAGATGTAAGATATTACTCTATTTACATACCACTGGGAAAGATTTATACTCAGTTCGAGTGCCTGATGTCACCTTGTTATATTCTGAACATTATGCCAGATTCTTCAACAACGGCCCGGTCCTTCCTCTGCACTAGGGTTTCCTCTAGATATGTCCATGGCTTTTCCCACATTACATCCATCTCAACCAGGGCTGATTCATCCAGTTATTCCCAACATGGCAAACTCATCTGATATTCTTCAAAGAAACATCCATCCGCAGTTAGCTCCCTTGACTGGTGGATTCAAGGAGCCAAATCAGGTATTGCTCCATTGCAATATCAAGCATTTCTCATTCCCCATGCACATCATTTCTTTGTTTATATGAGTAAACACTTCAAATTTAACTGCTACATCATATTAATAGTAATTATAAATGATAGATTTGTGAATGGATAACTTTTGCTGTAGATTGCTACACATGAGGAATGTTGAAAATCCTCCCTCAACCAAACTTACATTTGAATTTCTGTGGCCATCCTTTACTGTTATACAACAAATTACCTATGCTATTGTGAAATTTCTGTCATCCAATGTTTTGCCTGACTATATTTTGCAATCTTTTTATTTTCATACTGCGACAATTTGTAATAGCTGTCTGATGTTTGGGAGGATGAGCTTCACAATGTCGTCCAGATGAGTTTTGCAACAACTGCTCCCCTGAGTAGCCAAGATGTTGATGGTATGCATTCCCCAACAAATAACCCCTTTTAGTCAAGTTACATTTTTTCAATCAAATTACCTATGCTACAAACTCTTGTAGGTACTGTGTCAGCTAGTCAGATGAAAGTTGAACTTTGATGTTAGTCTACATACATTCCTCTTCGCTGTATTTGACTTTCATTCTTGTCAGATGCAAATAACTAAGCTCAGAGTTTTACACATGGCTCACCAATCTTGAAGGCCATGATCACAATTCCCTGCAATATATTTTAGATGAGATATTACTGAGTAATGTTCTGGTGTCTAGGCCTTGGAAGGCAGTCACATACTCTAGGTTAGAGGATGTAGAGCAGTATTCAAGGATGTTTCCTTTCTTTTCAAGCGTGAATATATGTATCATATTTTTAGAAGTGGAAGTCTATTTTATCAAAATAGGTTTGCTCACTAAATATATTAAAGAATGTAAAGGCAGGACCGCACTGAGTCTGATCAACCAGGAGAAATTTATAAGAAATTTTTTTCTTTTTTGGACTGAGCATAGTCTACAACATGCTATGAGAACCTGTGTATGCTTTTGATTTTGATGCTTGCTAGGTGCTTTCTGCCCAACAATTAGCTTTGTTGCATTCTTTCATGGAACATGTTCAGATTTAGATGACACATCAGGGTGCTTTCTGTTCACAGTCTTTCATTGCAATGTAGCTGCTCATGAGTATACTGAGTATCACAAATCAGAATTCTATCATGGTCTTGTTGAGCTTGAATCCATGCACATTGGTCAATACTCTGCATGTGTAAAAAGAGGAGGGAAAAAAGAATAGGGGAGCAGCCTTTGGAAAACTTAAAAAGGCATATAATAGTTTTTTAAAATAAGTTAGGATAGGGGTAAGGATACAGCAAGATATAATAGTTAAATAATATCTGCAATTTTATATTTCAGCTCAAGTAAGGTAAATTGTGTATTGAGAAAAAAAAAAACTATTTTTGAAGGAACTAAAGTAACAGTTGTTGAAAATGTTGGGCACCTGAGGATAATTTGACAAAGACAAAGTTGTTTGAAGAGATTGATCGTGTTATAGTGTGTCAGTGTAGGGTGTGGTTTGTTGTAAATATGATTTTTTCTTTGATATTGAAGTACTGCTGGAAACTTTTAAAGAAAAATTTTTCCTTTAAAAAGGAAGAATTTTTAATCTGTTAAAAAAATTGGTTTGATCTGTTATATGTTTTTTAATTACATTTTTAATGTGTAGTTTAATGAGTTAAATTTATTAAAATCTAAATTTGTGAGTGTAAATTAAAAACCGTTCAACATATATAAACAGTTTTGTTTTTGTCATTTCAATCATCCGTTTTTTCAATTAATTAAAGAGAGATTTTTGAGGCTTTGATCTTGATCACGGTTAGAATATGTATTTAGTGTTCTTCATCCGGACTTACAAATTTGTAATTGCTGTTCAAGTTTTTAGGTGTTTTTATTTTGATTTCTTTGTACTTTTTTATTGTTAGTATCTGTGATTGAGGTTTTCTGATATTGGTTCTTGATGATTGGTATTTGGTCACTGGTATTATATAACAGTAGTTTTTGGTATTTGAAGAAAACTCTTGCGATAAATAAGGTTATTTTCTACTAACTGATTGTAATCGAATTGGTGTTTACTAAAACCCTTTGCTAGTGTTATTAAAGAAGGGCGGACGAAGCTCAAGGATTGAATAAATTAGTATAAATTTTGTGTGTTGAATCTCTGCATCTCTTGTTTCTTTAAATTATTGTTGTGATTCTTGATGGTTAATCTCAAATAACCTTTTAACTGTTAAATGAAAAGGAGTCAATCTTATTTTTCAGTACGTCCATTTACAAAAATCTTTCAAAGTTTAATTCATCTCTCTTTAACTTCAGTATTAATTCTAACAATAGTTTGTTTCATGTATTATTAAATTAAAAAAATTAATAATACAAGTTGTTTTTTTACATATATTAGCATGAACTTGAATTATGCAGGTACATGCCACCCGTTTGTAGCTAATAAGTATATAGGATATGTTCTTGTACAAGTTCAACATCATTTTGCTTGTCTTCTTTGACAATTAGATTTGCAATAGAACACCTGGCTCGTTTGAGAAAAAAAGGCCTGATTTAAAGAGAAGATACTAGCGCAAATTGTGTGATGCATATGAAGGGAATAATTCATAAAAAGTTAAAACTAGTTTCTAAGAAAATTATCATGAATGTACTGAGGCATAGAAACCTGAATTTATGAGTTCTGATTAACTAAGTCCATCATAAATACCCCAACTTGTTTATCAATCATGACCATCAGCAAAAAATGGCCACTGAGTATCCCTCCCTACCCCACTCAGATACAGCCATTTTACTTGGTTCTGTGTGTCCATTTTTCTTTCTGCCTTAACACTATGACAATTTGACAAATGGAGTTAGAGGTGTTCAGATAATTAATAAAGTTACTGACTTCTCAAGTTTTATTCTCTACTTTTTAGTGCCTAAACTTTGACCAACAATACATTATTTAATTACCGTTTCTTGCAAATTTTCTCTATTAATAAAATTTCAATAAATTATCTCAATTTTCAAATATTTTAATATAATATTTAAAGGTTTAATCTGTTGCTAATTAAAAGAATACAATGATGAGATCGTAGGAATTTTTTTTAATGCTTTTCTGCTTATTGAGTAGAAAATGAACACATTATGTTCCTTAAAATGAAAAGGGATAACATTGTTGTGATGGATACTATTATACCACCGTTTTGTCAAGGATCAAAAGGTACATCAGTTGAGTCTTTCGAAGAATATTCACTGAGAAGAAATACACTAATGAAACATGAGTCAAACCCACATAAGTATAAGAAATATAGATTGAGATTAAGAGGGGGTGAATTGATTTTATAAAATTTTTCGCAAACATCAAATTTTAGAATTACAATTTCAACGATTCTGAAATCTGATTCAGTATTGAATCCAACTAAACAAAACAAAATTGAAGAGAATCACACAAGAATTAAAGTAAGAGTTTAAAGAGAAAGAGAAATACCAAGAATTATATTGGTTTACCCAAATCATTGTGCTACATCCAATTCTCAATCAAATTCCAGTTGAGTTTCACTAGATTAAAATGTTTTGAGTACATAACATAATTACAAAACAATCAATCTACACCAAGAACCAAAATTCAGTTCTTGAACCAAACCTGTAACCAAATTCCAGCTACAGAATCAGTACCCAAACTTCCAGGCACTTAGACAGAAACGAATAGTAAAATAATAAAAGAAGAAACAAGAACAATCACACCGGGTTATGCAGATGCAAAGATTCCACTATAGGTTGAGTTTTTTTCTCTAAAATGAACACAAGAATGCCTCAAGAGAGAACTTTGAAAATCCTTACTAAAAGTTGTGCACTTCTCTCTTTGAAATGATATATATGATTACTTGAATGATTTCTCAAATGTGTGTTTTAAAAAACTCAATCAAATCTGTTTATATAGAGACTTGTATAGCTAATCGACACAATTAATCGGTTAAATCTTCTGTTAATTGATTAAACATTCTTGATTATAACCGTTTTAACCGATGAAAATATTATTTAATCGATTAAAATGTTATATCTCATTTTCCATAATTATTTTAACTGATGAAAATATGTTTTAATCGATTAAAATAATTATCCAAAAAATCCTTAAGTGGTTTTAATAAATTAATTTGTGTTTTTATCGATTAAAATACTGGTAAAAAATCTTCAAAAAATCTATAAGTGATTTCGATCGATTAATTCGGGTTTTAATCAATTAAAATGCTTGCGTGAAAATTTTCTAAAACTTCTTAAGTGATTTTAATCGATTAATTTGAGTTTTAATCGATTAAAATACTGTCAGAATATTTTTCAAAACCTTTTTAAGTGTTTTTAATCGACTAACTCGAAAGTATATCAGTTAAAATGGTGACAAGTACACACTCGTAAGTGGTTTTAATCGATTATTTCAAAAATATATCGGTTAAAATGATGACATAATTGATTTTAACAGATTTTAATCGATTAATCTGGAAATTTATCAGTTAATTTCGAGTCTCAAGAACATATTAATCGATTAATAAGACTTTTAGAGACATTTTTTTTCCTTTCCAATGATGAAACCCAATGCAGTAGGAATTAAGAAATGATTATAGATATATTACACTACATCCTATAATCCAAATATTCTCTGACTTTAATAAATCTTCCTTTGATTCAAAAGAACTCTTTGACTTCATCAAATCTTTTGGTTCTCAAATCATCATCAATAAGGATTGACATCACTCTCAACCTAAAACTTTAAGACATTAGGTTATAGGTCATACTTTTATATGTTGTTCAACTTTCTCATTCTTATTCAATGTGGGACTTAACTCACACTTGGATTACCCAACAATCTCCCCCTCAAGTGTGAGTCCCTTCACATTGGTACATCCCCCGAGCTCACTAGTGATCCTTCCATGTACCGTCGTTCACTCTAATGGACACCCGATCAACCTTCGACTCTGATACTTCTTGTTGGGTCTTTCAAGGGGAATTCACAGGGGAGAAGGGGAGAAACACATTAATGAAACATGAGTCCAACTCACATAAGGATTGACACCACTCTCAACCCAAAACCTTAAGGCATTAGGTTATGGGTCATATGCTCAACTTTCTCATTCCTATTCAATGTAGGACTTAACTCACACTTGGATACCCAACAATCTCCTATTCAAGTGTGAGTCCCTCCATATTGGTACATCCCCCTCAAACTCATCAATATCCCTTTCATGTACCATTTGTTCACTCTAACGAGACACACTTACTTGTCGATCAACCTTCGGCTCTGATACCACTTATTGGGTATTTCGATGGAGAATTCACTAGGAAGAAACACACCAATGAGACATGAGCCCAACAAAATCTTAAGACATTAGGTTATGGGTCATACTTCTTTATATGTTGCTCAACTTTCTCATTCTTACCCAATGTGGGACTTAGAATCACACTTGTATTTCCTAACAATCTCCCCCTCAAGTGTGAATTCCTCCACATTGGTACATCCTCCTCAAACTCATCAGTAGCCCTTCCATGTACTGTCATTCACTCTAACAAGATACGCTTACCTGACCCACTCTGTCAGGAATACTTTCGATACAATGACCACTTTAACCCACTGCCGATCAACCTTTGGCTCTGATACCACTTGTTAGGTCTTTCGAGGGAAATTCACAGGGGAGAAACACATCAATGAGACATGAGCCTAATCCACATAAGGATTGACACAACTCTCAACCCAAAACCCTTAAGGCATTAGGTTATGGGTCATACTTTCTTATATGTTGCTCAACTTTCTCATTCATACTCAATGTAGGACTTAACTCACACTTAGATACCCAACAATATCTCATTCAAGTGTGAGTCCCTCCACATTTGTACATCCCCCTCAAATTCATTAGTAGCCCTTCCATGTACTGTCGTTTACTCTAATGAGACACGCTTACCTGACCCACTCTATCAGGAAGACTTTCGATACAAAAAACACTTTAACCCACTGTCGATCAACCTTCAACTCTGATGCCACTTACACTTAGATACCCAACAACATCACCACACATACACCTTAGGAATATCTCTAAACATCTATTCACCAACTGAGATTGCCATTAGTTTGAAAATGATAGAAAATTAACAATTGAATTTGAACTCCTTGATGGGACATAAGATTTTTCTAGAATTGATTGATAAAAATAGGATCTCTATCATTAATGATAGAATAAGAAAATACATGAAGTTATGAAAGGAGAAGTTAAGAATGAAGAAGAAATTAAGGAAGGAGAAAAACCTAAGAGAGAGATGAGGTTAAGGAGGGAGAAAAACCTAAGGAGAGAGATGAGGTTAAGGAGGGAGAAAAAGTGAAGGATAAAGAAGAAGGTAAGGATAGAGATGCAGGGATAAAAGGTTATAGATGGAAAAAAGTTAAAGATGAATAAATAATTAAGAAATGAGAAAAAGTTAAGAATGACGAAGAAGTTAAGAAATCACAAGAAGTTCAGAAGGTAGAAGAAGTCAACGAAGGAGTAAAAATTAAGGAAGGAGAAAAAGTTAAGGAAAGAGAATAAGTGAAAAAAAGAAAAGTTAAGGATGAAGATGAAGTTAAAAAGGAGTTAAGAAAATAGAAGAAGTTAAGGAAGAAAAAGAAGTTAAAGAAGAAAAAGGAGTTAAGAAAAGAGAAGAAGTTAAGGAAGGAGAAAAAGTTAATGATTGAGAAGAAGTTAAGAAAGGACAAGAAGTTATGGATGGAGAAGAAGTTAAAGATGAAGAATAATTTATGAAAGGAGAAGAAGTTAAGGAAGAATTAGAAGTTAAAGATGGAAAAGAAGTTAAGGAATGAAAACTTAAGGATGAAGAATAAGTTAAGGAAGAAAAACAAGAAGAAGAAGTAGTTAAGCAAGGAGAAGAAGTTAAAGATTGACAAAAGTTAAGGATGAAGAAGAAGTTAAGAAAGGAGATGTTAAGGAAAAAAAAGAAGTTGATGATGAAAAAGAAGTTAAAGATGAAGAAGAAGTTAACGAAGAAGAAAAATTTTAGGAAGAAGAAAAAGTTAAGGATGAAGAAGAAGTTTAAGAAGTAAAGAAGGACAAGAATTTAAGGATTAAGAAGTGATAAAGGAAGAAGAAGAAGTTATGGACCGAGAAGAAGTTAAGAATGTAAAAGAAGTTAACAAGGAGAAGAAGTTAAGGATGAAGAAGAAGCTAAGGATGAAGTGAAACTCAACTCAGGAAGGAGAAGAAGTTATAGATGAAGAAGAAGTTAAGAAAGGAGAAGAAGTTAAGAAAGGAGAAGAAGTTAAGAATGGATCAAAAGTTAAGGAAGGAAAAGAAAAAAAGAAGTTACGAAAAGAGAAATTAAGGAAGAAGAAGAAGAAGTTAAAGATGAAGAAGAAGTTAAGAAAGGAGAAAAAGTTAAGAATGGATAAGAAGTTAAGGAAGGAAAAGAAGTTAGGAAAAAAGAAGAAGTTAAGAAAAAAGAAGAAATTAAGGAAGGAGAAGAAGTTAATGATGGAGAAGAAGTTAAGGTATGAGAGTGAGATAATGAGAAGAAGTTACAAACAAATAATTAAAGGAGGAGAAGAAGTTAAGGATGTGGAGACAGTTAAGGAAGGAGAAAATATTAAGCATGGAGACGTTAAGGCATGGGAATAAGTTTAGGATTGAGAAAACTTTAAGGAATGAGAAGAAGTTATGGATGAAAAAAAGATAAAGAAGGAGAATAAGTAAAGGATGAAGTAGAAGTTAAGAAGTTAAGGAAAGAGAAGAAGTTACAGAAAGATAATAAGAAGTTAAGGAATGAGAAGAAGTTAAGGAGGGAAAAGATGTTGAGGAAGGAGAAGAAGTTAATGAGAGAAAAGATGTTAGGAGAAGAAATTAAGGATAAATAAAAAGTTAAGAAAAAAGAAAAAGTGATGAAAGAATAAGTTAAGTAAAAAGTTAAGGAAAGAGGAGAATATAAGGAAGATAAAGTTAAAGACAAAGAAAAAGTTAAAGAAACAAAAATAAGTTAAGGAGAGAAAAAAAATTAAGAGTTGAAAAGAAGTTAAGGATGAAGAAAGAGTGAAGGAAGGAGAAGAAGTTAATGATGAAAAAGAAGTTAAGGAAGGAGAATAATGTAAGAAAGGAGAAGTTAAATGAAAAAAATTCATATAATTTATACAATTTTTATTAATTATTAAAATATATTTTATAAAACTAATATAAAACTTTGGTTTAATTTTAATCTCTCTCTATATCAATTATAAAGGATGACAAAAGGAGTCTCGTCTGCCTTATTTTGGTTTATCTTATCTTTAGTCCACAAAAAACGAGATAAATCAGGTTGATCTACCATAATTATGACAAGTTGTAAACCCTAGTTTATCCCGTAAAGGATGGATTGACGAGTTAACATGTAAATCTGTCAATTTTTTTATATAAATTATATATATATATATATATTTAATTATATAAATAATTTAATTTTTTATATAAATTAAAATAATTATTATATTTATTTATTAAAATAACTAATAATAATTAATAATTTAAATTTAATTAATTATTATCTATAATTTAAATTATAATATTATAATATATTTATATATTTTAAACAAAAATTATAATATTATTAATTATAACTACTTTTATTTTAATATATAATTAATTTTTTAAAACAAACTACTAAATTTGTTTGTCTATCTTATCAACCCGTCTCATTGAGTTGATAGACAACACTAGACAAAATTATCAAACTGTCGCTTCAATTTTTTGACGGGTTAGTGAAATAAACCATTTTGCTATTTCTCATAGTCGTCTAGCACGTATCATTCCTTTACAGTCTTGTTTTTTTCTTCTTTTTTTTTTCAAATCCTGTCTTGGCTTTTGCACTTCTTTAGGTTGAGGTCGCCCAACATTGCATCTTCTATAGCAATTTTGTTGGGCATTCATGACAGTATGCAGTGGTGCTAATTTTACTATTCTATCCCTGTTTTGTTATTTTTATATTCTTGAGTATTTTAACACACCTTGTAAGAATATTTAAAAAAAAAATCTTGAGTATTTGAATAAAATACCCTTTCTTTCTCTGTCTCTAGTTTTCTCTGTTCTAATATAATATCAGTTTGTAACGGTACCTTCCACATCTTGTAATTTCTCTTTCGTTTCTTTCCTTTTGTTCTTCATGACTTCTCTCGTCATCCTACCTTTGGATCCCCATGATCCTCTCTTTATTCATCATGGTGATCATCTAAGCTAGAGTCTTGTTTCTACACATCTGAATGGTGACAGCTTTGATTCTTGAAGACGCACTGTCACCATTGCTCTTAAATAAAAAAACAAGATGAGTTTCTTCGATGGATCTTTTCCTTAACCCATTGCATAATGCATTCTTTGTGGAAAAGAAACGACAACATAATGCGTTCTAGGCTTCTTAATTCGGTCACTAAAAATATCACTACCAACATCATTTACTCTTCTACTGCTGCCCTATGGAAGATTTAAATTCTCGATATAGGCAAAACAATGGTCCTAAGGTTTTCCAGTTGAAGAAAGCGATTTTCTCTTGCCAACAAGGCTCGATGTCTATAAGTCAATACTATGTCGTGATCAAAAGTCTTTAGGAAGAATTAGGTGATTTTCAACCATCTCCTTCCTGCACTTGTGGTGGCGTTAAATCCCTGATTGATTACTTGCATTTTAAACATGTCATATCTTTTTTAATGGGTCTAAATGACAACTATTCCCAAATTAGTGCTCCAATTCTTCTAATTGACCTTATTTCTTTAATTAGTCGTGTGTTTTCTCTTATGATTCAAGAAGAAAAATGACAAGAAGTTGGCATTTTAACACAACAATCTTCACAAATTTCTTTCACTATTCTTCAATCTCAAAACAAACCACAACAATCTGGTTCCACAAAAAAATAGAGACCAAAATGCAGTTACTGTAAGATGCTTAGTCATACTGGAAACAAGTGCTACAAGAAACATGGATATCCGGATACAAGAAACTCAATTTTGCTATCCACCAAGTCACGAATTTCAAGATAGGAAAGAGCCTAATGCAACTTACTATGGCTGAATATGATCAACTCCTAATTCTCCTTCAAAATCAGGTAGCTGCTGGTTCATCCCAACAACCACATCTTTCTAATTCACCTAAAGACGGTATGTATAGTTTATCTTCTTTCTTTAAAAATTTAGCTTTCACCACATATCCAAATAAAGGAAATTCCTCTATTTGGATTCTTGATTCAGGAGCGACTACCCACATTACATGTTCTTTTGATAATTTTATTTGCTTTAGTATTTTAGAAAATCAATTTGTATATCTACCTACTAAAAATATTGTAATTGTTAAAGCCATTGACATAATTAAATTAAATAATCACATCATTCTTCATACAGTTTTATTCATACCAAACTTTAAAGTTGACCTTATCTCTGTAAATTCTCTCACTCAATTTACACAAACCAATATTCTATTTGACCATTGTTCTTTTGTCATACAGGATCCTCAAGAATCAAAGGTGGTTGGCAAGGGTAGTATCCTGGATGACCTCTATATTTTTCAAAATGCCTTCAATAAACTTTGTAGCAATTTTGTGCCTTCTTCTATTAATATTGTTGACAATATGAATACTTATACGAATACTCTAAAATGGCACTATAGATTAGGCCACTTATCTAATGTCATTTTTATATTGATTCATGTTGATATAAATATGCATTTGCCTAGTAATTTCTCTTGTAAAACTCGCAGTGTATGTCCCTTAGCTAAGCGAAAAGGCCTTCCCTTTATTGCAATCTAAACAAATCTCTGTTTGTATAAAAAAGAAATCAATTTGTTAAAACTTAGTTTAACAAATCCATCAAATGTTTAAGAAGTGATAACACAAAGGAATTTTTGCTCACTAATTTTCTGGCCTTTGAAGGAACCTTGCATCAATTCTCATGTCCTTATACACCAGAACAAAGTTCTGTTGTAGAAAGGAAACATCATTGTTAAATGTGGCTAAATCCTTATTATTTTAGTCTAATGTTCCTATTGTTTATTGTGGTGATTGTATTCTAACTACTACATATATCATCAATAGGACATCATCTCTTATTTTAAATAATTGCAGTCCTTATCAGATTCTTTACAATACTACTCTTAACTATTCCAACTTTAAAATATTTTGCTCTTTAATGACAGACACAAGTTTAGTCTCAGGGCTAAACCCACTGTTTTTATTGGTTATCCCACTGGAGTTAAGGGTTATAAGTTGTATGACCTTGAATATGGAAAAACAATTATCTCCAAAAATATGATTTTTCATGAAAATATTATGTTTTTCACCATGCAACATCATAACTCTACACTACAATTAAATCAGACTAGTGATCGCTTTATCTATATTGTTGTCCCTTGGTCTGCTAATGATTTTTCTCCTACCATAAATTTTTTCAACCACCCATCATTAAAAACAGTCATCTTTCTCATAATGAACATAATCATAATGCAGTAAGGATTTGACTAATCAACCTACTCTATCTCTTCCTAATATTCCTAGAATATCTTCTTGCCACATTAATCTCTTGTTTGTCTAAATGAATATGATGTTTTTATTCCTAACTTGTAGTTATCTCATTCTATATGTCACTCAATTTCATATGATAAGCTTTCTATTGCATACCACAATTTTGTTATGTAAATCAGCAGCTTTTATGAACTAACATATTATCATCAAGTTGTTCGATTCCTTGAATGACATGTTGTTATGGACAAAGAGCTAGAAGCAATGGATACCAATCACACATGGGATATTGTTCCTCTACCTAAAGACAAAAAGGTCATCAACTATAAGTAGATCTACAAGGTAAAATATAATGTTGATGGTACCTTAGCCAAAAGAAAAACTAGACTTGTAACATGTGAGTTTATACAATATAGGTATTGATTTTCTTTGACATTTTCTCTCCTGTTGGTACTATTACTACTGTATGTGTCCTTTTATCTTTGGTTGCCATTAAAAAATCAAATTTTATTAAGCTAAATGTAAAATATGCTTTTCTAAATGGCTATCTAAATGAAAAGGTCTGAATGAAAATACCACAAGTTTATAAGATCCAACAAAATATTAATAGTAATCTTGTTTGTTGATTAAATAGATCTTTATGTGGTTTAAAATAAGTCTCTAGGCAATGATTTAAACATTTCTTTATATCATTAAAATTTTATGGTTTTATATAATGCACAAGTGATTATTCCCTTTTCTATTATGGTGATGAAAACAACATAGTTTTTTTTTTAGTATACATCGATGATGTCATTCTTGCAAGGCCAAATAAAGGTTGTTTAACCAGTTGTCAAACCTCCTTCAGACTCTATTCAAATTTAACGTTGTAGGAGATCTAAATTTTTTCCTTAGACTGGAAATTACAAAGTCCAAACAAGGCATCCATTTATGTCAACAAAAGTATATTATTTAGCTTTTACAAGACACCGGATTTCTCAATGCCAAATCTGCTGCTATCCCAATGAATCCCAATCTGCATTTGAACTCCACAAATGGTGATCTGTTGCCTGATCCTTCTGCATACAAACGACTGCTAGGAAGACTCATGTACATTAGTATTTCTTGACCTGATATTTGTTTTGTTGTCAACAAGCTCAGCCATTTCATGAAC